ACGAAACAAGACTCTGATAGGTGTACAGAAGAAAACAAGACTTGATAAGTGACGAGAGTAAGAAAGACATTGGATAATAGCACAGAGAAGAAGGTGAACAAGACCTTGATAAGTGCAACAGAAGAAAAGGGACAAAGCCCTTGAAAGTGCACAGTAGAAGAACATCCTTGATAACTGGAAAAAAGTATATAAAACCGAAACACCTCAATAAGCTGCAGAACACAGAAGCAAGCCAACGACCTTATAAGTGCAACCCAGACAGAGAGGAGACCCTTTGAAAAGTGTGACAGAGAAATAACAACGAACTTGATAAGAGCACAGAGAGAGGAACAAGCCTTGAAGTGACAGAGAAGCAAAGAAAAGAACAAGACCTTGATAAGTCCACAGAAGAAGAAGAACAAGTCCTTGATAAGTGCACAGAAGAAGAAGAACAAAACCTTGATAAGTGCACCGAAGAAGAAAACCAGACCTTGATAACTGCACAGAAGATAAAGAACAAGACCTTGATAAGTGCACAGAAGATTAAGAACAACACCTTGATAAGTGCATAGAAGAAGAAGAACAAACCTTGATAATTGCACAGAAGAACAAGAACAAGACCTTGATTAGTGCACAGAAAAAGAAGCATAAGACCTTGATAAGTGAACAGAAGAAGAAAAACAAGACCTTGATAAGTGCACAGAAAAAAAAGAATAAGACCTTGATAAGTGGACAGAAGAAGTTGTACAAGACCTTGATAAGTGAACAGAAGAATAAGAAGAATACCTTGATAAGTGCACAGAGAAGGAAGAACAAGACCTTCATAAGTGCACAGAAGAAGAAAAACAATACCTTGATAACTGCACAGAAAAAATTATATAAAACCTTGATAAGTGCTCAAAAGAAGAAGAACAAGACCTTGATACGTGCACAGAAGAAGAAGAAGACCTTGATAAGTGGACAGAAGAAGAAGTACAAGACCTTGATAAGTGAACAGAAGAATAAGAAGAAGACCTTGATAACTGCACAGAAAAAATTATATAAAACCTTGATAAGTGTCAAAAGAAGAAGAACAAGACCTTGATACGTGCACAGAAGAAGAAGAAGACCTTGATAAGTGTACAGAAGAAAAAGAACAAGACCTTGATAAGTGCACAGAAGAAAAAGAATAAGAGCTTGATGAGTGCACAATAGAAGAAGAACAAACCTTGATAAGTGCATAGAGGAAGTAGAACAAGCCTTGATAAATGAACAGAGGAAGTAGAGCAAGACCTTGATAAATGCACAGAAGAAGAACAACAAGACCTTGATGAGTGCACAAAAGAACAAGAACAAACCTTGATAAGTGAACAGAGGAAGTAGAACAAGACCTTGATAAGTGCACATAAGAAGAAGAACAAGACCTCAATAAGTGTACAGAAGAAAAGAACAAGGTCTTGATAATAGCACAGAAGAAGTAGAGCAAGACCTTGATAAGTGCACAGAAGAAGAAGAACAAGACCTTGATAAGTGCACAGTAGAAGAAAAACAATACCTTGATAACTGCACAGAAAAAATTATATAAGACCTTGATCAGTGCAGAAAAGAAGAAGCACAAGACCTTGATAAGTGCACAGAAGAAGAAGAAGTCCTTGAAAAGTGTACAGAAGAAAAAGAACAAGACCTTGATAAGAGCACAGAAGAAAAGGAACAAGACCTTGATAAGTGCACAGAAGATAAAGAACAAGACCTTGATAAGTGCACAGAAGAAGATGAACAAGACAGTGATAAGTGCACAGAAGAAGAAAAAGAAGACCTTGAATAGTGCACAGAAAAAAAAGAATAAGACCTTGATAAGTGCACAGAAGAAGAAGAACAAGTCCTTGATAAGTGTACAGAAAAAGAAGAATAAGGCCTTGATAAGTGCACAGAAGAAGAAGTACAAGACCTTGATAAGTGCACAGAAGAAGAAGAACAAAACCTTGATAAGTGCACCGAAGAAGAAAACCAGACCTTGATAAGTGTACAGATGAAGAAGAACAAGACCTTGATAAGTGTACAGAAGAAGAAGAACAAGACCTTGATAAGTGCACAGAAAAAAAAGAATAAGACCTTGATAAGTGGACAGAAGAAGAAGTACAAGACCTTGATAAGTGAACAGAAGAATAAGAAGAAGACCTTGATAACTGCACAGAAAAAATTATATAAAACCTTGATAAGTGTACAGAAGAAAAAGAACAAGACCTTGATAAGTCCACAGAAGAAGAAGAACAAGACCTTGATAAGTGCACAGAAGAAGAAGAAGAATACCTTGATAAGTGTACAGAAGAAGAAGAACAAGACCTTGATAAGTGCACAGAAGATAAAGAACAAGACCTTGATAAGTGCACAGAAGATTAAGAACAACACCTTGATAAGTGCATAGAAGAAGAAGAACAAACCTTGATAATTGCACAGAAGAAAAAGAACAAGACCTTGATTAGTGCACAGAAAAAGAAGCATAAGACCTTGATAAGTGAACAGAAGAAGAAAAACAAGACCTTGATAAGTGCACAGAAAAAAAAGAATAAGACCTTGATAAGTGGACAGAAGAAGTTGTACAAGACCTTGATAAGTGAACAGAAGAATAAGAAGAATACCTTGATAAGTGCACAGAGAAGGAAGAACAATACCTTGATAACTGCACAGAAAAAATTATATAAAACCTTGATAAGTGCTCAAAAGAAGAAGAACAAGACCTTGATACGTGCACAGAAGAAGAAGAAGACCTTGATAAGTGGACAGAAAAAGAAGTACAAGACCTTGATAAGTGAACAGAAGAATAAGAAGAAGACCTTGATAACTGCACAGAAAAAATTATATAAAACCTTGATAAGTGTACAGAAGAAAAAGAACAAGACCTTGATAAGTCCACAGAAAAAGAAGAACAAGACCTTGATAAGTGCACAGAAGAAGAAGAACAAGACCTTGATAAGTGTACAGAAGAAGAAGAACAAGACCTTGATAAGTGCACAGAATATAAAGAACAAGACCTTGATAAGTGCACAGAAGATTAAGAACAAGACCTTGATAAGTGCATAGAAGAAGAAGAACAAACCTTGATAATTGCACGGAAGAAAAAGAACAAGACCTTGATTAGTGCACAAAAGAAGAAGCATAAGACCTTGATAAGTGAACAGAAGAAAAAAAACAAGACCTTGATAAGTGCACAGAAAAAAAAGAATAAGACCTTGATAAGTGGACAGAAGAAGTTGTACAAAACCTTGATAAGTGAACAGAAGAATAAGAAGAATACCTTGATAAGTGCACAGAGAAGGAAGAGCAAGACCTTGATAAGTGCACAGAAAAAAAAGAATAAGATCTTGATAAGTGGACAGAAGAAGAAGTACAAGACATTGATAAGTGAACAGAAGAATAAGAAGAAGACCTTGATAAGTGCACAGAAGAAGAAAACCAGACCTTGATAAGTGTACAGAAGAAGAAGAACAAGACCTTGATAAGTGTACAGAAGAAGAAGAACAAGACCTTGATAAGTGCACAGAAAAAAAAGAATAAGACCTTGATAAGTGGACAGAAGAAGAAGTACAAGACCTTGATAAGTGAACAGAAGAATAAGAAGAAGACCTTGATAACTGCACAGAAAAAATTATATAAAACCTTGATAAGTGTACAGAAGAAAAAGAACAAGACCTTGATAAGTCCACAGAAGAAGAAGAACAAGACCTTGTTAAGTGCACAGAAGAAGAAGAACAAGACCTTGATAAGTGTACAGAAGAAGAAGAACAAGACCTTGATAAGTGTACAGAAGAAGAAGAACAAGATCTTGATAAGTGCGTAGAAGAGGAAGAAGAAGACCTTGATAAGTTTACAGAAGAAGAGGAACAAGGTCTTGATAAATGAACAGAGGAAGTAGAGCAAGACCTTGATAAGTGTACAGAAGAATAAGTACATGACCTTGATAAGTGCACAGAAGAAGAAGAACAAGACCTTGATAAGTGCACAGAAGTAGAAAAACAATAACTTGATAACTGCACAGAAAAAATTATATAAGACCTTGATAAGTGCACAAAAGAAGAAGAACAAGACCTTGATAACTGAACAGGAAAAATTATATAAGACCTTGATAAGTGCACAGAAGAAGAGGAACAAGACCTTGATAAGTGCACAGAAGTAGAAGAACAAGACCTTGATAAGTGCACAGAAGAGGAAGAACAAGACAGTGATAAGTGCACAGAAGAAGAAAAAGAAGACCTTGATAAGTGCACAGAAAAAAAGAATAACACCTTGATAAGTGCACAGAAAAAGAAGAACAAGACCTTGATAAGTGCACAGAAGAAGAAGAATAAGAACTTGATAACTGCACAGAAGAAGAAGAACAAGACCTTGATAAGTGTACAGAAAAAGAAGAATAAGACCTTGATAAGTGCACAGAAGAAAAAGACAAGACCTTGAAAAGTGCACAGAAGAAAAAACAAGACCTTGATAAGTGCAAAGAAAAAAAAGAATAAGGCCTTGATAAGTGGACAGAAGAAAAGAACAAGACCTTGATAAGTGCACAGAAGAAAAAAAACAAGACCTTGATGAGTGCACAATAGAAGAAGAACAAACCTTGATAAGTGCATAGAGGAAGTAGAAGAAGCCTTGATAAATGAACAGAGGAAGTAGAGCAAGACCTTGATAAGTGCACAGAAGAAGAACAACAAGACCTTGATGAGTGCACAAAAGAACAAAAACAACCCTTGATAAGTGCACAGAGGAAGTAGAACAAGACCTTGATAAGTGCACATAAGAAGAAGAACAAGACCTCGATAAGTGTACAGAAGAAGAAGAACAAGATCTTGATAAGTGCGTAGAAGAGGAAGAAGAAGACCTTGATAAGTTTACAGAAGAAGAGGAACAAGGTCTTGATAAGTGCACAGAAGAAGAAGAACAAGACATTGATTATTGCACAGAAGAAGTAGAACAAGACCTTGATAAGTGCACAGAAGAAGAAGAACAAGACCTTGATGAGTGCACAGAAGCAGAACAAGACCTTGATAAGTGCATAGAGAAAGTAGAAAAGAAAGAAAAGAGAAGAAAAGAATAAGGTCTTGATAAGTGGACAGAAGAAGAAGGATAGGACCTTGATAAAAGAACAAAAAAAGAAGAACAAGACCTTGATAAGTGCACAGAAGAAGAAGAACAATACCTTGATAAGTGCACAGAAGAAAAAGAACAAGACCTTGATAAGTGTACAGAAGAAAAAGAACAAGACCTTGATAAGTGTACAGAAGAGAAAGAACAAGACCTTGATAAGTGCACAGAAGAAAAAAAACAAGACCTTGATGAGTGCACAATAGAAGAAGAACAAACCTTGATAAGTGCATAGAGGAAGTAGAACAAGCCTTGATAAATGAACAGAGGAAGTAGAGCAAGACCTTGATAAGTGCACAGAAGAAGAACAACAAGACCTTGATGAGTGCACAAAAGAACAAGAACAAACCTTGATAAGTGAACAGAGGACACATAAGTGCACATAAGAAGAAGAACAAGACCTCGATAGGTGTACAGAAGAAAAGAACAAGGACTTGATAAGTGGACAGAAGAAGAAGAACAAGACATTGATAATAGCACAGAAGAAGTAGAACAAGACCTTGATAAGTGCACAGAAGAAAAGGACAAGACCTTGATAAGTGCACAGTAGAAGAAAAACAATACCTTGATAACTGGACAGAAAAAAGTATATAAGACCTTGATAAGTGCAGAAAAGAAGAAGCACAAGACCTTGATAAGTGCACAGAAGAAGAGGAAGACCTTGAAAAGTGTACAGAAGAAGATGAACAAGACAGTGATAAGTGCACAGAAGAAGAAAAAGAACACCTTGAATAGTGCACAGAAAAAAAAGAATAAGACCTTGATAAGTGCACAGAAGACGAAGAGCAAGACCTTGATAAGTACACAGAAGAAGAAGAACAAGACCTTCATCAGTGCACAGAAGAAGAAAACCAGACCTTGATAAGTGTACAGAAGAAGAAGAACAAGACCTTGATAAGTGTACAGAAGAAGAAGTACAAGATCTTGATAAGTGCATAGAAGAGGAAGAAGAAGACCTTGATAAGTTTACAGAAGAAGAAGAACATGGTCTTGATAAGTGCACAGAAGAAGAAGAACCATAGCTTGATAAGTGCACAGAAGAAGTAGAACAAGACCTTGAATAGTGCACAGAAGAAGAAAACCAGACCTTGATAAGTGTACAGAAGAAGAAAAACAAGACCTTGATAAGTGCACAGAAAAAAAAGAATAAGACCTTGATAAGTGGAAAGAAGAAGAAGTACAAGACCTTGATAAGTGAACAGAAGAATAAGAAGAAGACCTTGATAAGTCCACAGAGAAGGAAGAACAATACCTTGATAAGTGCACAGAAGATAAAGAACAAGATCTCGATAAGTGTACCGAAGAAAAAGACAAGACCATGATAAGTGCACAGAAAAAGAAAAGAAGTCCTTGATATATGCACAGAAGAAAAGAACAAGGTCTTGATAAGTGCACAGAGGAAGAAGAACAAGCCATTGATTATTGTACAGAAGAAGTAGAACAAGACCTTGATAAGTGCACAGAAGAAGAAGATCAAGACCTTGATAAGTGCACATAAGAAGAAGAACAAGACCTCAATAAGTGTACAGAAGAAAAGAACAAGGTCTTGATAATAGCACAGAAGAAGTAGAGCAAGACCTTGATAAGTGCACAGAAGAAGAAGAACAAGACCTTGTTAAGTGCACAGTAGAAGAAAAACAATACCTTGATAACTGCACAGAAAAAATTATATAAGACCTTGATCAGTGCAGAAAAGAAGAAGCACAAGACCTTGATAAGTGCACAGAAGAAGAAGAAGTCCTTGAAAAGTGTACAGAAGAAAAAGAACAAGACCTTGATAAGAGCACAGAAGAAAAGGAACAAGACCTTGATAAGTGCACAGAAGAAGAAGAACAAGACCTTGATAAGTGCACAGAAGAAGATGAACAAGACAGTGATAAGTGCACAGAAGAAGGAAAAGAAGACCTTGAATAGTGCACAGAAAAAAAAGGATAAGACCTTGATAAGTGCACAGAAGAAGAAGAACAAGTCCTTGATAAGTGCAGAAGAAGAAGAACAAAACCTTGATAAGTGCACCGAAGAAGAAAACCAGACCTTGATAAGTGTACAGAAGAAGAAGAACAAGACCTTGATAAGTGTACAGAAGAAGAAGAACAAGACCTTGATAAGTGCACAGAAAAAAAAGAATAAGACCTTGATAAGTGGACAGAAGAAGAAGTACAAGACCTTGATAAGTGAACAGAAGAATAAGAAGAAGACCTTGATAACTGCACAGAAAAAATTATATAAAACCTTGATAAGTGTACAGAAGAAAAAGAACAAGACCTTGATAAGTCCACAGAAGAAGAAGAACAAGACCTTGATAAGTGCACAGAAGAAGAAGAAGAATACCTTGATAAGTGTACAGAAGAAGAAGAACAAGACCTTGATAAGTGCACAGAAGATAAAGAACAAGACCTTGATAAGTGCACAGAAGATTAAGAACAACACCTTGATAAGTGCATAGAAGAAGAAGAACAAACCTTGCTAATTGCACAGAAAAAAAAAGAACAAGACCTTGATTGGTGCACAGAAAAAGAAGCATAAGACCTTGATAAGTGAACAGAAGAAGAAAAACAAGACCTTGATAAGTGCACAGAAAAAAAAGAATAAGACCTTGATAAGTGGACAGAAGAAGTTGTACAAGACCTTGATAAGTGAACAGAAGAATAAGAAGAATACCTTGATAAGTGCACAGAGAAGGAAGAACAAGACCTTCATAAGTGCACAGAAGAAGAAAAACAATATTTTGATAACTGCACAGAAAAAATTATATAAAACCTTGATAAGTGCTCAAAAGAAGAAGAACAAGACCTTGATACGTGCACAGAAGAAGAAGAAGACCTTGATAAGTGGACAGAAGAAGAAGTACAAGACCTTGATAAGTGAACAGAAGAATAAGAAGAAGACCTTGATAACTGCACAGAAAAAATTATATAAAACCTTGATAAGTGTACAGAAGAAAAAGAACAAGACCTTGATAAGTCCACAGAAAAAGAAGAACAAGACCTTGATAAGTGCACAGAAGAAGAAGAACAAGACCTTGATAAGTGTACAGAAGAAGAAGAACAAGACCTTCATAAGTGCACAGAATATAAAGAATAAGACCTTGATAAGTGCACAGAAGATTAAGAACAAGACCTTGATAAGTGCATAGAAGAAGAAGAACAAACCTTGATAATTGCACAGAAGAAAAAGAACAAGACCTTGATTAGTGCACAGAAGAAGAAGAACAAGACATTGATTATTGCACAGAAGAAGTAGAACAAGACCTTGATAAGTGCACAGAAGAAGAAGAACAAGACCTTGATGAGTGCACAGAAGAAGAACAAGACCTTGATACGTGCATAGAGAAAGTAGAACAAGCCTTGATAAATGAACAGAGGAAGTAGAGCAAGACCTTGATAAGTGTACAGAAGAATAAGTACATGACCTTGATAAGTGCACAGAAGAAGAAAAACAATAACTTGATAACTGCACAGAAAAAATTATATAAGACCTTGATAAGTGCACAAAAGAAGAAGAACAAGACCTTGATAACTGAACAGGAAAAATTATATAAGACCTTGATAAGTGCACAGAAGAAGAGGAACAAGACCTTGATAAGTGCACAGAAGTAGAAGAACAAGACCTTGATAAGTGCACAGAAGAGGAAGAACAAGACAGTGATAAGTGCACAGAAGAAGAAAAAGAAGACCTTGATAAGTGCACAGAAAAAAAGAATAACACCTTGATAAGTGCACAGAAAAAGAAGAACAAGACCTTGATAAGTGCACAGAAGAAGAAGAATAAGAACTTGATAACTGCACAGAAGAAGAAGAACAAGACCTTGATAAGTGTACAGAAAAAGAAGAATAAGACCTTGATAAGTGCACAGAAGAAAAAGACAAGACCTTGAAAAGTGCACAGAAGAAAAAACAAGACCTTGATAAGTGCAAAGAAAAAAAAGAATAAGGCCTTGATAAGTGGACAGAAGAAAAGAACAAGACCTTGATAAGTGCACAGAAGAAAAAAAACAAGACCTTGATGAGTGCACAATAGAAGAAGAACAAACCTTGATAAGTGCATAGAGGAAGTAGAAGAAGCCTTGATAAATGAACAGAGGAAGTAGAGCAAGACCTTGATAAGTGCACAGAAGAAGAACAACAAGACCTTGATGAGTGCACAAAAGAACAAAAACAACCCTTGATAAGTGCACAGAGGAAGTAGAACAAGACCTTGATAAGTGCACATAAGAAGAAGAACAAGACCTCGATAAGTGTACAGAAGAAAAGAACAAGGTCTTGATAAGTGGACAGAAGAAGAAGGATAGGACCTTGATAAGTGAACAGAAAAAGAAGAACAAGACCTTGATAAGTGCACAGAAGAAGAAGAACAATACCTTGATAAGTGCACAGAAGAAGAAGAACAAGACCTTGATAAGTGTACAGAAGAAAAAGAGCAAGACCTTGATAAGTGTACAGAAGAAAAAGAACAAGACCTTGATAAGTGCACAGAAGAAAAAGAACAAGACCTTGATGAGTGCACAATAGAAGAAGAACAAACCTTGATAAGTGCATAGAGGAAGTAGAACAAGCCTTTATAAATGAACAGAGGAAGTAGAGCAAGACCTTGATAAGTGCGCAGAAGAAGAACAACAAGACCTTGATGAGTGCACAAAAGAACAAGAACAAACCTTGATAAGTGAACAGAGGAAGTAGAACAAGACCTTGATAAGTGCACATAAGAAGAAGAACAAGACCTCGATAAGTGTACAGAAGAAAAGAACAAGGTCTTGATAAGTGGACAGAAGAAGAAGAACAAGACATTGATAATAGCACAGAAGAAGTAGAACAAGACCTTGATAAGTGCACAGAAGAAGAAGGACAACACCTTGATAAGTGCACAGTAGAAGAAAAACAATACCTTGATAACTGGAAAGAAAAAAGTATATAAGACCTTGATAAGTGCAGAAAAGAAGAAGCACAAGACCTT